TGGCTTATATATATATATATATATATATGTATGTATGTGCTGGGCGCAGTGGCTCATGCCTACAATCCCAGCACTTTGGGAGGCTGAGGCAGGTGGATCACCTGTGGTCAGGAGTTCAAGACCAGCCACCCCATTGTGAAACCTCACCTCTAGTAAAAATACAAAAACTAGCTGCGTGTGGTGGCAGGTGCCTGTAATCCCACCTACTCCGGAGGCTGAGGCAGGAGAATCACTTGAATCCAGGAGGTGGAGGGAGCCACTGCACTCCAGCCTGGGCAACAAGAGCAAAAATCCATCTCTAAATAAATAAATAAATAAATTTCAAAACAATCCTATATATAAAGCAGTTTTTGTAGCAGAGACAGATAGCTGCTCACTAAAACTTGATTTCTTTCTTTTTCTGGGACCACAGCTAGACTGCATTTTCCAGACTTCCTTGTGGTTAACTGTGATCAAAAGGTTAATGAGGCAAAAAATAAAACCAAAAACACTAAAACCAAAAATTGAGCTCTGGGTGGAGAAGAAGGCACATCGCATCCTTAGTAGAAGTAAAGTTTTTCCTAGCACTTAGCTTTGTAAAGGAACACACTTTACAAGGCACCTGCTAGGCACACACAGCACTGAGCTAGATGCTTTCTATAAACATAAGGGCATCAGAGAAGGAAAATGCAGTGTCTGATGTCTGTAGTCACTGAGGTCCTTCACATGTTGGGGAACACTTGACGCGAAAATGACTGAAATCCCAACCAAAGCATTTGAAAACTATTTAACTAGAAAGAATTGCATTTAAAAAATAGCCTTATTGAGATATAATTCAAATAGTATTTAACATATACAACACAAAGTTTTTAAGTATTCATAGAGTTGTACAACCATTGTGCGACCATTGTCATGATCTAATTTTAGAACATTTTCATCTCCCTCTAAAAGAAACTCTGTACTCATTAGTCGCCTTTCCTATCCCACATGTCCCCACAGCCCTAAGCAACCACTAATCTACCCTCCATCACTATCAATTTGTCTGTTCCAAACATTTCATATAAACAGAATCATACAATAGGCAGTTTCTTTCACTTAGCGCAATGTTTTCAAGGTTCATCCATGTCGGCGTAATAGCAGTACTTCATCCCTCTCATTGCTGAATCATATTCGATTCCATGGATACTCCACATTTTGTTTATTCATCAATCAGTTGATGCACATTCAGGTTGCTTCCATTTTTTAGCTATTATTAATAATGCTGCTATGAACAATTGTTTCTTCCTTTAAAAATTGACATCCCATAAAACTCACCCTTTTATTGTTATTTTTGTTTATTTATTTGTTTTTGAGAGGGAGTCTAGCTCTGTCGATAAGGCTGGAGTGCAGTGGCACGATCTCGGATCACTGCAGCCTCCGCCTCCCGGGTTCAAGTGATTCTTCCGCCTCAGCCTTCTAAGTAGCTGAGATTACAGGCGCCCGCCACCAGGCCGGGCTAATTTTTTTTGTGTTTTAGTAGAGAAGGGGTTTTACTATGTTGGTCAGGCTGGTCTGGAACTCCTGACCTCAAATGATCCGCCCGCCTTGACCTCCCCAAATGCTGGGATTACAGGCGTGAGCCACCACTCCCGGGCCACCCTTTAAAGTGTAAGATAGAATGGCTTTGGCATATTCCCAGAATGATGCATCTATCACCACAATCTAATTCCAGCACATCTCATCACTCCCAAAAAGAAACCCCTTAAGCAGTCACTTTTCATTCTGCCCTCCCCTGACCCCCTGGTGACTACCAATGCTCTTTCTGCCTCTATGGATTTACCTATTCTAGACATTTCACATAGATGGAGTGACACAACATGCAAACTTTGGTGTTTGGCCTCTTTCACTTAGCATAATGTATTCAAGATAACGTATAACATATATTAATATATTCTATATGTTATAGCATATATCAGTACTTTGCTCCTTTTTATGGCTGAATAATACTCCATTGAATGGGCATACAACATTTTGTTTATCCAGAAGGATTATTATTATTCCGAGAAGGGTTATTTCCAAGAAGGATTTTGAGGTCAACTTTGAGGGAAGCAGGGAAGAGAGCTGTGGCTGTGGGTATCTGCAAGGTGCTGGGTGAGACAGTACTGTGGGGCTTCCTGTGTGCTACAAATTTTCCAACCTGATAACAGAAGAATGATGCATTTGAGACTACGTTCAAGTGTGACTTGAGATGGCTGGCAAATGTGTAAAATTGTATACTGAGGAAAGTGGTACCTAATAGCTAGAATGTTTTCTAAGAGACCTTCAGATATGTGTAGGATCCCAAGAAGTCAGAGATATAATGGAAGGGTGGGAAGAGATGATCTGATTCTTCCTTTTTGTTTTCTCATTAAAAAAGCAATCAATGCCACCATAAATTCTAACATTTCTAAAATTACATTAAAAAATTATCCAGGGACTTCTGAACACTGGGAGACATTTTCAACAGATCAAGGGAGAATGCCAAGAAAGCCCTACTTCAAATAGAGATCAAAATAAATGTGGTGGGACAGATGTGATTTAAAAATATTATCTCCTAATTCAAATAAAAACCACAATGAGATACCATCTCACACCATTTAAAATGGTGATCATTAAAAAGTCAGGAAACAACAGATGCTGGAGAGGATGTGGAGAAATAGGAACACTTTTACACTGTTGATGGGAGGGTAAATTAGTTCAACCATTGTGGAAGACAGTGGTTCAGTTTCACAAGGATCTAGAACCAGAAATACCATTTGACCCAGCAATCTCATTACTGGGTATATACCCAAAGGATTATAAATCATTCTACTATAAAGACACATGCACACGTATGTTTATTGCAACACTATTAACAATAGCAAAGACTTGGAACAACACAAATACCCATCAATGATAGACTGGATAAAGAAAATGTGGCACATACACACCATAGAATACTATGCAGCCATGAAAAAGAATGAGTTCATGTCCTTTGCAGGGACATGAATGAAGCTGGAAGCCATCATTCTCAGCAAACTAACACAAGAACAGAAAACCAAACCCCCCATGTTCTCACTCATAAGAGGGTGTTGAACAATGAGAACACATGGCCACAGGGTGGGGAACATCACACACCTGGGCCTGCCGTGGTGGGGGTTGGGGGTTAGGGGAGGGATAGCATTAAAAGGGATATCTAATGTAGATGATAGGTTGATGGGTGCAGCAAACCACCATGGCACGTGTATACCTACATAACAAACCTGCACGTTCTGCATATGTATCCCAGATATTAAGGTATATTAATAATAAAAAAAATCTCCCATTGTGTACATTGTCTTTTCACTTTCTTGATGGAGTCTTTTGAAGCAAAAAGCTTTTAATTTTAATGACGTCCAAGTTATCTATTATTTCTTTTGTTGCTTGTGCTTTGGTGTTTTATATATAATAGGAATCCATTGCCTAATTCAAGATCACAAAGATTTACTTTGATGTTTTCTTCCAAGAGTGTTACAGTTTTATCTCTTACATTTAGGTCTTTGATCCATTTAGAGTTCATTTTTGTGTATGGTGTGAAATATGGATCCAACTTTATTCTTTTGCATACAGATAGTAGTCGTAGAATCATTTTTTGAAAAGACTCTTCCCCGTGGAATTGTCTTGGCAAGCTTGTGAAACTCATTTGACCCTAAAAGGGGGTTTATCTCCAGTCTCTCACTTCTGTTCCATTAACCTATATATCTTCCCTTGAGATTGAGAGTACTAGCTAGTAATTAACCGATTAAGAACTCTTTACTTGACCGGGCATGGTGGCTCACGCTGGTAATCCCAGCACTTTGGGCGGCCAAGGTGGGTGGATCACGAGATCAGGAGTTTGAGACCAGCCTGACCAATAAGGTGAAACTCCATCTTTACTAAAAATACAAAAATTATCTGGGCGTGGTGGTGCGTGCCTGTAGTCCCAGCTGCTCAGGAGGCTCAGGCAGGAGAATTGCTTGAACCCAGGAGGCGGAGGTTGCAATGAACCGAGATTATGCCACTGCATTCCAGCCTGGGCGACAGAGCAAGACTCCGTCTCAAACAAAACAAAACCTCTTTGCTCAATACTCCTATTTAATAGCAATGATTGCTGCTAATGTGATTCTAATACTTGTTGGGCATGCCATCATTGTTTAATTTCAGAGCAAACTTTCTGGAACTGATAAACAATAAGCTCTTCTTAAGAAACTAAAGTACATTAAAATAAATTGCTTTCAGGGGTTCTTAAACAAGTTCAAGACATCCTGGGTGTGATACATTTGAGCGAGAAACAGCTGGCCTAGTTCACTCGCCACATTAATCAGAACGTCTCCCACCTTCTCTTTAGGATAAGCACTCTCAAATATCATTACTCATAAACCGGGGGAGGGCTGGGTTTCCACTCGCATCAGTTACTTTCTCTCCTCCTAGAAAATCTTGCAGCCGCTAGAATTTTGGGCCCCTTTGCTAGGAGGCAATTAACAAATTGCATTTTTACTATCAAAGCTGAGAAAGAGTGGCCCTTGCCCTGCCGGCACGCTTCCGACGCGTCGCCCTGGCCTGAAGATGTCTACGGTCGGGTTCGCGCCCCGTGGTCACCTAAGGCTTCCAGAGCGCCGGAGCCGGTGTACAGGACCTGCTCCTCCAGGGTCCCCATCTGGGTCTCCAGCTGTCCTTCCTCTCTACTTTCTTCTCGCGGCACACCCCTCTGGGCCTCGTCTAAACGAAGGCACCGCTGGTCCGGAGTTGCACTTGTTCGCTCCCTCCTGGGCTCTGGCAGCGCTGCATCCCCGGGGCTGCTCCGGGTTCTGGCCAGATAGCAGAGTCAGAGTCGAGATGCATGTCCCCTGCGCCGGCCAAGGGTGCCGCTGGGGCTCGCGCCGAGTAGGCGAAGGCGGGGACCAGAGGAGCCCGAGGTGGCGCAACGCGCACAGGTGGCGCCCGGCCAGGCCAGGTTCGGGCAGGTGAGGCTAGGTGTGGTCGGGAAGGGGCGGGCGGACCGGCCCCACCCCGCCTCGGTTCAGCAAGTGGGCCAGCTTGTTGGGGCTCGCTTGGCAAGGGGACGCGGGGACTAGGGGCGCGGACGCAGTTACGGGAGGATGCGGCTGCGGGGACCTGGGGGCTCAGGGCTAGGGCAGCAGGCCCGGCCCGCACGGCTTTCCTGGAAAGCGCTGCCCAGCGCCGCGGCGATGCCCTCGCTGTGGAGAGAAATCTTCTTGGAGTCGCTGCTGGGTAAGCTGAAGTGCCTCGCCGCGCGTTTGCGGGTGCCAGCTCTCCGGGCCCTGTCCAGAGCCGCGGCGCTAGGCCAGGTTGGCTGAGTTCGGGTAGGAGGAAAAGGGCGCTCCGTGCCCAGAGTGGAGATGCTTATCTTCCCCTGGGAACTCTTCCTACTGAGGGGAATAAAGGAAAAGACCTAGACTGAAGTGTTCAAACTGAGTCTGCGAGGCGCCCACAGAAGACGCCGTCGCCCGAGTTCCCAGCAGCTCTGGGATTGTGCCCAAGGAGCGCGAATTCCTCTCGTGTCGGCCTTGACCCCGCGAGGCCGGTATCATCCCCAAAGACCCCCACCCGTGGCCTTTAAGTTTAACTTAATACAATTCAGTGCTGAACTTTAAAATTCAGAAGGAAAGGGGCACCTGTTTTCCCCAGGAGCTGTAGGTGAACACCCGGCGGCAGCTGCTGCCGTGAACTGGGCCCAGGACAAGTGGCCCTGGTGTGGGCTGCACACTTGGGCATTTGGCGAAAAGCATCGGACTCGAGTCTCATGTGCTCTCTCACCAGCTTTACAAAATCCCAAGGACAATTTTATTGGTGTAATTCTGTCGGAGCTGTGTGAGTAATAAAATGAAAGTTCCCAGACAAACATTTGGGATATTGCTGGAATCCCAGGTTCGTTACAAAACAAAGATCCCTCTGGTCTGGGTGGGGCGCCTTCCTGAGAACTTGATTTTCTGGGAGCTGGTAATTCTCAGGAGGGCTTCAGACTATTTTTTTTTTTCTGGCTTAGCCTGTATCTATAAGTTGGGAGATGTACAGTGCCTAGCATTCAATAAGTACCTCAGGTGCTAGTACTCAGTGCATTTGATCTCACTTAATCCTCCCAACAACTCTGAAGGGGTTGAAAGTTTTGCAGACTAAGAAGCGGAGTTGGAAAGTCAGTTGGTAGAAAGTCCCCACACCTGGTAGTTAGAGGGGCTACCTTTGGACCCAGGCTGCTTAGAGTTATGGCAACTCTGACATTTGCTACTTGTGTAACCTTAGGTACTCATTTATCTTTCTGAGTCTCAGCGTTTTGCTTGTTGTTTTGTTCTTGCTTAGTTAGTTTTTGCATTTATAAGAGGTGAGTGGAAATACTACCCATCTCATAGCATAGGGGGCTGTATAAGGAATGAGACAGATGCTCCGTGTTGAACACTTAGCACCAATCCTAGTGCGTGGCAAGTGCCCATAGCGTTAATTATCATCATTGCTCAAGATTATACAGTGGTTATTGGCAGAGGTGCAGCTTACTTCAGATCTGGGTATTCCACTACCCTGCACTGCCTCCTAAGGATTGGACTGAAAATGTTCTACTCAAGGGAATGACTGCTGCCTCACTCAAGTGCTTTGGGTGTAGTCTGGGGTTGTAGGAGGGAGTCCTGCTGCTTACTGCCCTTTTGGACTCTCACAATATTTTTCATTATACAGGGGACAATGTAGGTAAGAAAATTTTGTCAGTCAGCGTCCTGATGGGAAGCCAAATTCAACTCAGATGGTCCAAATGAATAGGACTTAATAAAGAGATTGTCTACAGCCATATGGGCAAGGAAAAGGAACAAGCAAGGGATGCTGAGAGACTCATGGCAGCAAGAAGCCATCCTCTACCAGGGCCTGATGTGAGGGGGCGGGGCGGGGGGGAATATGTATGTTTCACCAGAAATTTCACTTCTGGGAATATATCCTACAGATATACTCAGAGTCATGCATTACATAGTGACATTTCACTAGGAAATTGCCATCACTTTTCTGTCCATCGGTCTCTTAAGGCACAACACAGTCAGTGCAGCGAGTTCTGTGAATCTCTACACAGGTGTAGTGCTCTTGTTTTGTTTCCTGTCAGTGGAAACAACTGGAACCCAGTTCAGGCCAGAGTCATAAAGAAGAATGGCCAGCCTGAGTGGCTGGAGTGGAGGGATAGGGCTATTGTTAGAAACAATGCCGAAGTTACACTTTCTCTCTTTAACTTTTTTTTTTTGTAGGATATATTTCTTGGTCTCTCTACCATGACCTGGGACCGATGATCTATTACTTTCCTTTGCAAACACTAGAACTCACTGGGCTGGAAAGTTTTAGTATAGCGTTCCTTTCTCCAATATTTCTAACAATTACTCCTCTCTGGAAATTGGTTAACAAGAAGTGGATGCTAACCCTGCTGAGGATAATCACTGTCGGTAAGATTTAAAAGAGTTTCTTTAAGTTTTTTTGTTTTAGTTAAAAATCAAGTGAGATTATGTAGACTGTTCTTTGAATGCTAAATGTTTGAATTTAAAAAATCAAATATTTCTCTTTCCCTTACCACTACCTTAGAAGAGCTTTAGTAATTGGAAGACTAGACTGAAAGTCGATGTGTTTTACATTTACAATGTTTTTGCCAGACTAGAAAGACCTAAAAATCATTGAAATGAGTAGAGGAAAGATACCTTAAAGAACTGATCAACTCTTGAATATATTGTGTTTTTCTTTCCAACTGTGACATAACACTCAGGAGCCATTTTAAAAAGTTTGTTAAATAATAATTCACAAGAAATGTGAAGATTATGATGACAAACACCACAATAAGCAGTCAAACAAGAAACTAGGAAAAATACTTGCAACTCTTTTAGCCAAAGGGCTAATTTCTGTAATATATAGAGTTCCCACAAACCAATAATAAAAAGAGACCAACAACTCAATAGAAAAGGGGGCACAGAATCTGATCAATTCACTGGAAAGGAAATACAATTAGTTTTAAAAATGGAAGCAAATGTATAGATCATAAATTATACACATACAGATATGCTTACCTATAGTTTGACAAGTAGATCAGCAAAGAATAGTCTGACTGCACTGTGCAGTAAGAGTGGGGAAACAGGCACTCATACATTGCTGGTGCGTGTCCATTGGCACAACCTCTATGGAGAATAATTTAGTAGTATTATCAAAATTACAAATAAGCACATTTCACCAGAAATTCTACTTCTAGAAATATATCCTGCAAATATACTCACAGTCATGTGTTGCATAGCGACATTTCACTATGACACTGCCATCGCTTTTCTGAAGGCACAACACAGTCAGTGCATTGACTTCTGTGGATCCCCACAAAGGTATAGAGCTCTTGTTTTGTTTTGTGTCAGTAAAGATGAAGTCTCGCTATGTTGCTCAGCTGGTCTCGAACTCCTGAGCTTAAGCCATTCTCCCTGGCCTCCCACAGTGCTGAGATCATAGGTGTGAGCCACTGCTCATGGCCTAGAGCTCTTGTTTTTAAAACAACTCAGACTCAGAAGGATAGTGGTAAAAACTCCTGAAAAGTGTGCCCTTTACAAAGTTGGTGTCCATAGGAATTGGAAGACGTGTCAAATGGTCTTGAAATTTTCAGCTCCAGAAATAACAAATGAAGTTTCCTATCCTGAACTGAGTATATAGTAATTGATTTCAACTGGCATTGACTTACAGTATCCTTCCATGACCCACCATAGCTCTGAGTCTTGCAAGATTCATTTTCTTATCACACTTCAGGTTGATTTTATGGGAGTGATCTCATAGGTAGTAATTTCTTGTTACCTTTGGTGCTGCCTATGTGGACTTTACCTATACATCCACAGACTGAGTGGAAACTGGGATAGTTTCCATTACTTCAATCCATTTTTGGCCCAGTAACTTCTGGTGACTGTAAGGGATGTGATATAAAATAAGTTTGGGGTAGATATTCTATTTTATTTCTATGCTTCCTGTTCCCTTTTCACTTTCTTCCTCCGTGAAAACCTATCACCTTGAGCAGAAGTAGAATTATATTTGGAAATATGAAATAGGGAACATTACTCAGAGTTGAGGAGGAAGTGGCCATTCTCTGCTAAATGCTGCTCCAGGTGACCATTGAGCTTTGTTTTTGCTAAACAGAGGCTGAAGTAAGCCATGATTTGCTTTAAAACTCCCTTCAAATGCTTCTTAGGGATATGAAACAACTTTGTTTTTAGAGTCCTGAGATATTCTTATATAAATACAGAGAGGGTCTGAGCGTTACATGCCATCTCACTTCTGGCACCTCAGATATTCAAGGTTAATTACTGTGTAAGTAACCATTAAACCAGTTCATACTCCTATCAATTTAGATTATTTTTGACCCACCAGGTTGGCTATAATCAAAAAAGACAGACAATAATAAGTGTTGGCAAGGATGTGGAGAAATTGGAACTTTCACACATTACTGGTAGAGATGTAAGAAATGTAAAATGGCACGGCTGCTTTGGCAAAGTGTGACAGAAGCAGTTATCATATGATCTAACAACTCTATTCCTTGGTATATACCCAAGAAAAATGGAAACATCTGTTCAGACATAAACTTGTACACAAATCTTCATAGCTGCATTATTCATGAGAGCCACAAAATGGAAACAACCTAAATGCCCATCAACTGACACATGGATAAACATACTGTAGTATATACATGCAATGGAATATTATGTAGCTATGAGAAGTAATGAAACACTGATACATGCTACAACCTGGATGCACCCTGAAAACATTATGGTAAGAGAAAGAAGGCAGTCACAAAAGGCCACATATTGTACAATTTAATATGAAATGTCCAGAATAGGAAAAATTTGTAGAGACAGAAAATAGATTAGTGGTTGCCAGAGGCTAGGGGATGTGGAGAGAAGGGAATGAGAAGTGACCTGCTAATGGGGATGTGGCTTCTTCTTGGGGTGATGAAATTTTTCTGGAATTTGATAGTGGTGATTGTTGCACAACTTTATGAGTATACTAAAAATCATTGAATTGTATATTTTAACATGGTGACTTTTATGATATGTGAATTGTATTTCAAGAAAAATTTTAAATACATATACAAAATTATACACCAACTATGTCTTCCTGAGTATAAAGATGGTATCAGATAACATTCATCAAATGCAGATTATGGAGTTCCAATCCATGCTTGCCAAAACTGCTTAGCTCTCCCTATTTTGTTTGTAGGCAGCATAGCCTCCTTCCAGGCTCCAAATGCCAAACTTCGACTGATGGTTCTTGCACTTGGGGTATCTTCCTCGCTGATAGTGCAAGCTGTGACTTGGTGGTCAGGAAGTCATTTGCAAAGGTATGGTTAATGTTTCATGTACTTATAGACAAACAAGCATAGTCAGTTACCAAAGGGAAACCTGGGGCCAGGAGTTCCAGGTTATAGTTTTTACCTTCCATATGGCCTTGTTGAAGTCTCCTTTTTTTCCTTTTCCCAAAACAAGGACATGAACACTTGCCATCAATCTCAATAAGGTTTTGAAAATTAAAGAATTATAGCAAGTTGCTTAAGTTGCTATATAGAGGCTAAGTCACGTTCATTATTGCAGATTACCAACAAGACTATTTCAGCTACTTATTCTATGAAACTGTGAAATTCATGATGGACATAGTACATTGAGTCCACATAAAAAGTGTTTAAAAATACTTTTGCACTTACAGATACCTCAGAATTTGGGGATTCGTTTTAGGACAGATTGTTCTTGTTGTTCTACGCATATGGTACACTTCACTAAACCCAATCTGGAGTTATCAGATGTCCAACAAAGTGATACTGACATTAACTGCCATAGCCACACTCGATCGTATTGGCACAGGTAATATAGTAACTTTGAAATTTTCTCTTTTGCAGAGCTTACATTTCCTGTGTGAATGTTCCACATCTTGGAAAGAAAATCTATAAAAGTAATCTTTCTGCATTATATCTATATTTCAGCTTTTTCTTCCTCTGAAATAATAATTGGTGCAACCAGTGGGCTATTTGCTAAGCAGCAGGCACATTTTCCTTGCCTGTACAGACAGAGGGTGAAAATAAAATACCGTCACTGGTTTGTAGCACCATGGCAGTGGGAGACGAGAACCAGGCCTTATACCCCAGCTCTCATTCGGCTCTGTCTTCCTCCTCCTTCCCCCTGGTCAGGGCTCTCTAGGATGGGATTCTCCATCCTCCACTTCCACACTGACCCCAGTACATCTGTAACACTAAGGAAAGTTTCTGTGACCTATAGCTGTCCCTGGAACTTCCTGTGTTTTTTTCTTCCAGAGGTCTGAAGCTCCAAATCTAAGACTTGAAAAGAAAGGAAACCTTGCATATGCATACCGACTTTCCAATCACCTGTATCTCCCAGGGGCCAGCTTTCTCTGAGACAGAAACATGCCCAGCTTGGAGTTTGTTTTATAAACCAACCCGAGACTCTTCTAAAAAGAAGGGAGAAGTGTTAGTGGATTCTAGTTAACTTGCTCCTAGCTTTTTGTGTAACTCTCAGTGAGTCACTGTTCTTCTGTAACTACAAGGTGAAATATCAAGATTAATGGAAGTTTAGAGGGTATTGGCTCACCACAAACAAAGTGCTTGTATAATTTCCCCTGTGCCCCCTAGTTTGGCATGAAATGAGAATAGAGGGAAATTATGTCAGTAAATTGACCACATGATATTAATAGTAGAAGACTTAGAACTCGGTGTGGTCCCCTAACATATGTTTTACATTCATATCTAGAGGCAGAGACTCGGGCAGCCCATTTCACAGGTACAGCCTGATAAAGATCTGAACTTCAGGGTACTGTTCACATTTCCTGACTTTTTTTCTATCTGGCCTCTGTTTTAAATGTATGTGACCCAGTTCCTGGCTGGCAGTCCCTTTCTCCATTTCTGCTCTGTGCCTTCCTTTATAAAACTGACTGTTCATCATGCACCTTCTCAGCCTATCTGAGCATATCAAGTATTTTTTGTAGTTTCCTTTGAAGATTTGTTGGGTCCTGTGTGGGGGTGGGGTCACCCACTGTCATACACTGCAATTCACTCAGCAAATTCAGTTTAGATGGCTCTTTTCCCTCAAAACTCTCTGCTGAGACCCCATGCCCCTGGTCTTCCTTCTGTCACTACCGCCCTCTCCCACTCCATCCCATCCCCACTGCTCTCAGCTCTGCCCCTCCTCCCTCTGATCCTGTTAATGTCAGAGAAGCTTTCTTGGGAAATTAGACTGCCAGCCGTACAGTCAGACCCTAAGACCTTCCTTCCATCCTGTAGAGGGCAGGATGGGGGTCACAAAGCGTCTGCCCAATAGGCTCTCTCTGTTTCTGTGAAGGAGTCCTCCTGCTGGCATCTTCTCCAGTTGTTACAGTTTTGTGTGTAAAGTCATTACTGTGATGAATTGGACCTCTTGGCTAAATAGTACCAAGGAGCTACACTGCCTAAGCTCTAATCCCAGGTTCCTAGGTTCTCTTTACTAGCTGCGTGAACTTGGAAAGGCTACCTGATCTCTCTGGGTCTGTTTTCTTGTTTTTGAGACTGAGTTTCACTCTTGTTGCCTGGGCTGGAGTGCAGTGTTGCGATCTCGGCTCACTGCAACCCCCACCTCCCAGGTTCAAGTGATTCTCCTGACTCTGCCTCCCGAGTAGCTGGGATTACAGGTGTCTGCTACTGTGCCTGGCTAACTTTTTATTTATTTATTTTTTGTGTGTTTTTAGTACAGACAGTTTTCACCATGTTGACCAGGCTGGTTTCAAACTCCTGACCTCAGGTGATCCACCCACCTCGGCCTCCCAAAGTACAGGGATTACAGGCACGAGCCACTGCATCCTGCCCTGTTTTCTAATCTGTAAAATAGGATTAATAGTAGAGCCTACTTCATGAAGTTGTTGTGAAAGTTAAATGAGTTAATATAAAGTTAATATACAGGGCTCGGAAGAGGGGTTGGTGCACAGTGGCTACTCAGTCAATGCACTGCATCCACAGAGGGTTAGATGACAACCCTGCTCTTTGGGAGGAAGCAGCCTGTATACTGGAAATGTTCCACTCAATTTTTACATTTGTTCCCGGACACTTTTTCTGCAATGCCTTAACTTCACATGAAGCAAATAATTTTCTGCATTTTCACCCGTTGAATTCCAAAATGCGTTTTCTGCCTTAAACCATTCCTTATCTGGCCTGCATGGAATTATCTCTCCCACTAAATAGCTGTCAGCATGTTTAGCTTTGTATTTTAGTTGCATGTCTCATCTCCTCTTCTGAAGTAAGCTTCTTGAAGCCAAATGCCATTTCTTCCTTAATGTCTGCTAACTATAGAGCGCAAATTTCCATATAACTAAACTTTTTCCATATATGTATTTTTAAATTCTAGATGGTGACTGCAGTAAACGTGAAGAAAAGAAGACTGGTGAGGCAGCCACGGGGATGGCCTCTAGACCCAACTGGCTCCTGGCAGGGGCTGCCTTTGGTAGCCTTGTGTTCCTCACCCACTGGGTTTTTGGAGAAGTCTCTCTTGTTTCCAGATGGGCAGTGAGTGGGCATCCGCATCCAGGGCCAGATCCTAACCCATTTGGGTGAGTTTGGGTTTGGAAGCAATCACAAAATTGGCAGTTATGCCTGGAGAAAGCAATGCCTCCTTTGTCAGATAGCTAGGTCTGTGCTAACCAGATATTTCATACCCACTCTCCCTAGATATCAGAATATGGCATGAAATTATTGTGTGCTCTGGAGAGAAGGGCACCGGAAGGGTCTTTTCCCCTGTGCAGAAGGATTGCTGAAAAGTAGATGTGGGAGGCCCAATGGTTGCTCACAGCTAAATAAGAGGTTTCCAGAGCTTCAGCATAGGCATCCCGAGGAATGCTTGCACAGAACATTCTCAGTGGCGGGAGAGGAGCAGCACTCCCTGGCCATTTCCTCCAGACCCTCTGGTTATGGTTATGGGCATTTAGTAGGACAAGACCACAGTCCCCTGGGGAGACTAGGTTGACTGCCTGGGGCACAGATCTCTATTCTCAGCGAAGGAGGGCAGCCCCAGGAGATCCCTGCATCTTCTGGTACTTTCTTGTTCCAGCCGTGGGACACACAGGGAGTTAGTCTGGAGTCAAGTGTTGGTCCTTGTGTTTTGTCCTTATTAACCCTCTCTCTACTCTTCCTGATACATCATGTCTCTTGTAACTGGCTCCATCTCTTCTTGCAAAAAAATTGGAGAAACCCTTAAAAGATCTGCCTCTGATAACTTTTCTCTCTTGTAGTGCTCAATTCTTACAATTGAAGGCATGCAGCTGCCTACTGGATCTTTCCCCAGCAGGGATCTGGGCATATCCCACAGGCTTGTCAACCTCAGCCTGTCCAAATCTGAACTCAGTATTTCCCAGTCCTCCATGCATGTTCTTCTTCCCCCATGCCCAGGTCCACTTTGTCTGTCCACCTCATTATCCAAACCTGAAACCAAGAGTTCGCCCAGAATTCTCCATCTTCCTCATTTTCTCCAACTCAGTTCTGTGACTTCTTTTAGATTAAACCCTTCCTCTCTATCCCTAAGCACATCTGCCTTAGTGGAGTCCTCACCATTTTTTCATTCAGGCTATTACTGTTGTCTCCTAATTGTCTCTCTTTAGCGGAATCTTCTCCACATGGCTCCAGAATGATCTCTGTAAAATGCAAATCTGATTCCACCACTCCTTTACTTATAAGCTCTCAGCAGTTTGCCCCACAATACACAGGGAAAATACTGCCCCCAATTCTCCCACATGAGGCAGGATCTGGCCCCTCTACTTACCTTTCCAAATGCGTTCTAATCTTATCCTCCTGCTTCACCTGAGCCGAACCCACTTGCGGTTCTCTGGAAGTGCCAGACTGTTCCAGTCTCCCCACTGCCTGGGCTTGCTTTACTGTCTTGATGTCCTGGTAAGCCCTACTCCATTCAAAACCCAGCTCAAACATTTTCTCTGGGAATTCTTCTCTTATTATCACAGGGGATCCCTTCTTTATGCCACATACTATAATATTTTGAATCAATCAATTTTTGTATGTGTGTTATATATGTGTGTACACACATACACATATATATGTATCTGTTAGAAACTTTGTTTTTCTGTATTACAGATTTTAAAAAACGTCTTTCTTCCTGTCCAGATACTAAGCCCCTTGAGGGCAGGGAATGGGAAAATGAATGAATATTGATTGCTTACTCTGTGTCAAGTACTGAACAAGGACGTTTGAAAATATTATTTCATTTAGAGTCTGTATCTTCCTCCATATCTGGGAGGAAGGCAGAGAAGAAAGAAAGGAACAAAAGGACAGAGGGGAAGGAAGAAGTTTATTCCTACGTGTTAAAGCTTAGTTTCCAGAGTTACTTGTGAAAACAAGCATATGTTTTGTGGCAGAGTAAAGGAAGAATTTTAATTGTAAATGGTGAGTCCTGGTAGCCAGGAGAAACTCACCATTCAACTCTGGGCCAATCATGTTACATCCCTGGCCTTGCTTTTCTCACAAGAAGAATGTAACTAAACTTCAGGGGGAAACTTTCTCACATATATAAAATGAGGGTTTGCTTTTCAGACATTTCCTAATCCTGTATATTAGAGTGAGACATTGAAGATGGAAATGCAACTCACAAGACCAGCATTTCCCAAACTGTGCTGGTTTGGGAAGACACAGCGTCTTCCCTGTGAGATGCTGGTTTCTTGAGATATTAACGAGAAAAAGAAAATGCTTCTACATCAAACAGGTTGAGGAAATAGTGCATTTCAATCTTCCTTTCTTTGTACTTCACAATGCATATCAGCATATTAGAGACGTTTGGAGGTTTCCCAAAGTTATTTGAACATGGAATTATCCTTTAGAACATCTATTAATGCCTGACAGAGTAGGCGTGTTTCTCAGAACCAGCTTGAGAAATGTTGCGTTAGACCATCATCGCTCACCCTCATCATAGTAGGAATTGCTTTCTGAAATTCACCAGATTATACTTAAGGAAATGGGTCATAGGTATGTTTGATGGGGAAAAGGTGAGAGGGAGGCTCCGAAGGTGCTGAAAGGCCTTGGGAAACCAAAGGAGCAGTGTCATCTGTGGCCCTGGGAGGACAAGGGAGGACAAACTGTGTCTTGGTCACATGTTCTGGCTTCTCCTTAGCCCACGCCAACACTAGTGACCCCATCACTCTTAGTGTTCTGTAGCACTTTCTGCCTTCTGATAATCTTCATTATTATTAGGTCTCACTATTTTGTCCAGGCTGGTCTCAAACTCCTGACCTCAAACGATCCTCCCCCCTCTGCCTCCCAAAGTGCTGGTATTACCGTCATGAGTCGCTCTGCCTGGCCCTATCTGCATTATTTATTAATGGTGTTTATTATAAGTCTCCCCCACCGGAATGTGAGCTCTATGGGAGAAAGGGATCGTTGTTCATTGATGCATCCCAAACACCTAGAACAGAGCCTGGCACATGGTGGGCACTCAAAAATATTTGTTGTTGATTTGGCAGTAGAAAAATATCCACACTGTCCTTCATGGCCTCTTCTCACATCTGGTCTTCCGGAGCCCCAGAGTCATTCTTACACAGGTAGGAGCAGGTAGTAATATGGCTACGAGCCTCACCTCAGAGCCTGAGGACCATTTTAGTTTCTTAGTCCTATGTGGGCTACTGTGTTTGACCTCAAGCAGGTTACTTACGTGCTCTTTCCCCCAGTATTCTCCTCTGCAAAATGGGGATAATATTAGCATTTACCTTACAGGCGCATGAGAATTAAATGAATAATAATTACAGGGGAAAATCTTAAAATAGTGCCTAGTATATAGTGTATGTTATGTTTTTGAGCTTAATTTATGTGACAGCTACTTAAATGAGTCCTATGTTCTAGCTATTATTATTTCTGGGTTTCCTTCTAAAGTTTAGTTGAATTTCTTTTTTCCTCCTTTTGCAACTTTTTGCCAAAATAGCAAAATAATAAAATCATTTGTGGTTGTTTTAAAAGACACACAGTTATCAGTTATTTATCAAATTGACACTGGTTTTGGGAAGGCAGAGACTCTAGGCAAGAGCAGTATTGAGGTAGAGGAAAGAAAGAAAAAAAAGCAAACTAAATAGAAACCATTCCAATGAGCTTTTCTTTTTGTTCTTGGCAGAGTCATTTAAAATGTTACATGACCAACATGGACTGTACTTTAATAGTCTGAGAAAGCTTGGTTACTGCGCTTACATGATAAGTTGGCAGATATCATTGATCTCATGGCGGAGTTTTTATTCCTTCTCTGTTCTGAATGTGTATAATATTGGCTCCCAGTCGGCTCTCATGATCTCACCGGTTGTTCCACACACATTATTTCTTATATGTAACCAGAGGTGGGAGGTATATTTCTATTTTATATTCGGGACGATGAAATATTACTAACGTCACATGTCTTAGAGCATGTCCTTTTTCACAGAGGTGCAGTACTGCTGTGCTTGGCAAGTGGATTAATGCTTCCAGCTTGTTCGTGGTTTCGTGGTGCTGGTTTGATCTGGTGGGTTACAGGTATGTGGAATTTACCTGCAGATAGACCATCACTGAGCTTGGTTATCCAGTTTGTCTGCAAGCATGCACAACTCAACTGAAAGTAGATACAACCATATAAATATGTACTGTGGCCAGATGGGCTGTTGCAACCAGCAGCAGCAACTATAACGCAGATGTCACCAAGGTCACTGGTGACTACCTGCTCTGAATTCCTGCTTCCTCCTACTTCCGCCTCCCCTTCCTCCTGTGGCTGTGCTGCTTTCCTGGACTACACTGCCATAATACTACCTACTCTTAAAAATACATAAACAAGGCACATGTGTTAAGTAGCAGATTTATAAAAATTCTTGATTTTTAATTAAAAAATTTTTTATTTGTATAAATTTATGGGGTACAAGTGAGATTGATTGATTGATAACTTTTAAGTTCAGGGATACATGTGTAGGTTTGTTATATAAGTAAACTCGTGCAATGGGGGTTTGTTGTACAGATTATTTTGTTACCCAGGTAAAAAGCCTAGTACCCGTTATTCTTCCTGATCTTCTCTCTCCTTCTACCCTTGTCTGGTAGACCCCAGTGTCTGTTGTTCCCCTCTTTGTGTCCATGTGTTCTCATCATTCAGCTCCCACTTAATGAGAACATGCAGCATTTGGTTTTCTGTTCCTGCATTAGTTTGCTAAGGATAATGGCCTCCAGCTCCATCCATGTTCCTGCAAAGGATATGATCTCATTCTTTTTTATGACTGCGTAGTATTCCATGGTATATATTACCACATTTTCTTTATCCAGTTTACCATTGATGGGCATTTAGGTTGATTCCATGTCTTTGCTACTGTGAATAGCGCTGCAATGAACATATGCGTGCATGTGTCTTTATGGTAGAACAATTTATATTCCTTTGGGTACATACCCAGTAATGGGATTGCTAGGTCAAATGGTGATTCTGTTTTGGGGAATTGTCACACTGTTTTCCAAAATTGTTAGACTGATTTCCACTCTCACCAGCAGAGTATAGGTGCATAGATTGGGTAGTGGTCAAGTCAGAGTTCTTAGGCAATCCCTCACCTGATGGATAGAGTGGACCCATTAAGTAATTCTCATGAATAGCAGATTTTACCTAGATGAGGGCCGTGCATTGCCATGTTGCTAGTTGCCAGACTTCTTTCACTCTTCAAGATTCCTTGCTTTTCTGTGTTTCAAAAATGCCCTTTAGAATTCCATGATGAAGCTCCATTTCCCTTTCTCCTTTACATGTAACAGGCCCAGCCTTCCACCCAGTTTTAGGGTCCATGTCTGCTTACTCAAAGACCTGACCCATCTTTTCCCAGTTACACCCTTTAAGACCCCAGAAGTATCAGTGAAGACAATCATGTTTTGGGCTGCCCTCTTCCCTCTCCCCTAGTCTTTGTGAAGAGGAGGGAGCATTGTACTTATTTTCCTATAACAGAATTATGCCAGCCCTCCTCCTTTCCCTTAAAAGGCAGTATTTAATGATTATAGTCAGGTTTTCTGACTCTAAGTAAAAAAACCACTTTATTATATAGCAAATACTATATTTGGTTTATATAGCAAATACTATATTTGGTTTGAGATGTTGTTAATACATATTGATTAAGCTGGTGATTCAGAGTGGTACACTAGATGCTGTGTTTGAGAGACTGTATCAGTAATAGAAGATTTAGGATGACAACATAACAAGTGAATTTCTGTACATCATAAGCGCCATCACATTTGTCTGGAAATGTATGTGTAATCCAGATACATGGCTAAATCGATGAGGTTAGCCAGGTCCTCTTCCTCCTGGAGCTATGTGAACACACTGTTGCAGTCTTGTTGAGCTGTTTGTACTTGCTTGTGTAGTTTTTGATAGGCATTGTATTTGGAGCCTGTGGAGGTTTGTGTGTATGTGGGAGTAATCTTTTTTCTCATCACAGGGTTTATTTGTGAGATTCCTCAGGGAAAGAGCCAGGAAAATTTGTCAATGCTGAGTTTGCATTGAGCATATACAGAAGCTTCTTAATCTGCATATAAGTTGGAAAAGGAAAAAGAAATGCATTGAGCATTTGTTCAGCATTTATATCATGCCTTTTCTCATAAAGTATAAGCAAAGTGCTTATTGGGCAGGTAGTTAACAGCTTCATTTTAACCTTAAGAACACAGAGAAATAGATTGTTAGTTAAAGAACAGAAAAGCTGTGAACCTATCGTGTTATACTTATTTCCCCAGACAAGTAAGGTCATATCCTTGAGAGTCAAACCTAATCTAGTTTCGCTGTCTCTCTGCAGTATTAAATAGTAGCTTTAAAGACTCTAAGAGAAGCAGATTTAAGGCTTCTAGAAGGCTGTTTGCAGTAGAAGAAAGCAGGGCCATAATTCACCAGCTTCATTTTCCTTTCTGATCACTTACTCACTTGCAATAAGTTGGAGCTCAAGCTTAATTATCTGGAGGTGGTGCCCACTTTTCACTGTGATTCATCTCTGGAAACCACACAATAAAGCAAGCTGTGGCCAAAGGAATCCTGTTTTCCCACTGTACAGTTTAAGTTGACAATCCAACTGGAGACTCAGCATGAAATTAATTATGGCAGTGACTGAACAATTTCATACAAGCAAAGATACAGGTGCTTTAAATGTTGATAGCAGTTAAATCAGTAAAGCCAGAGTTCTATTTTTAAAAAAGGCTAGATAGAGTAAACACATTGATAGGACCCCATTGTACTGTAGTGTTCAGATAATTTTACTACATGGAAAACTTGATTTATTGAAAACTTATATGTGAGTTATTATAACTGTTATTGAAATAGTTACCATTACTTCCACTTGATGTCTTTGATGTTGTACAGGTTTGGGGGAGATTATTGGAAAGGCTCAAACAAAAGCAGTTAAGGAATACAGTTAAGTGAAAAAGGTAAAGTGACTAACAGTGCGTATCGCATGCTACCATTGGTGTACAAAAAGGAAGGGAAATGCATGCACATATATATTTCTTTGTATGTGTAGAGTATCTCTGGAAGGATGCAAAGGTAAGTGCTTACACTGGATTGGTTGCCTTCACTAAGGGGAACTAATGGGTGACGGGACAGAAAGTCCCTTTTGTAGCATTTGAATTCCAATTTTGAATTTATAACCCACTTAAACAGTACAATTTTGGCAGATTTAAGATATAGAGCCCATTTTAAAATAGAAATAAAAATGGTAACAGTCAAGATAAATTTGAGAGATGTTTTCATTCCCTCTAGATAATTCTCTGTAGTAAGACAAAGAGAACAATATTATTCTAACGTCTTTAGATTAGAATATCAAATTCAGAATCATTCTTTTAAAAACAGTCATTGTAAGCCAGTAAGTAAGAAAAATTTAACCTCACTAATAGTCAAATAAGTGCAATTTAAAATGTCATAGCATTTTTGACTTTAATTTGGTAAAGATTTTTGGCATTATTACATATATTTGGTAAATTTTTACCAAATTAAAGATGAAATTTTGGCAGGATTTAAGAGGTGTTGAGACTTGGCAGGTTTTCTACAGGAAGTAAAGACAAGTATTAGGTTTCCTGAAAGTTGCTTTCAGGAAAGCAACTGGTCACAAGTCATGACCTTAAAATACTTATGCCCCTTAACATAAGAGTTGTGTTGCTAAGAATCTGTTTTAAGGAAATAATAGGTAATGTGGCAAGGGATCATTGACAAAAAAATATGTTCATCACACTTGTTTTAAAAACTTGACATGGGAAGCTTCATAAATGGCCAGCAATAGGAAAATACTCATATTGGGGTGTATTTATCCAGTGAAGTATTATATGTACATTAAAATGTTTTAGAAAAAAATTATTTACACTAATAAATGTTCCTGATATAATGTTTCATAAAAAGCAGCATATATAGTCTTTAATATGTGGTACAATTCCATTTATGTAAAAATACTTCTGTATATACACAGAAGATGACTTAGAAATACACAGAAATATTGGCTGTGGTCATCTCCATCTTAGTCAATCTTAAACTGCTTCTTTTCGGTTCTGTATTTTTAAAATTTCTAAAGCAAATAGGCATTACATTTGTTTTATTTTAAAATGAAAAAATTCCATTGAGGATCTAGGTATTTGAAGATCTCCCTATGAAGTTAAACTCCATGGTTTGTAGAGGACCTTGGAATCTAGTTCTCATGCTCATCTGAGAGATGTTCTTTTTGAAGTGGGGAGAAATAGGCAGTCTGGCAGGTGGCATTGCCCTGTGATGGTGCAATGGAGTGTACTGAACTTATTGAGCTATGGGGCATTAAGATGCTGGCTGGAGCCACTTTCTGCTTCCCACTGCTTTCTGGAGTTCTTGGCCCAAGTAGTGAAGAGTCTGCTGTAGCTACCCTTGAAGGGTGGGTCCCAATTACACAACATGGATTGGAATGTTTCAAAAATGCCATATTTTCTATGGAAAGGGATTATATTGATGGTCCCAAGATGGAGTGGACCCTGCAGTGCTATTTCAAAGCTGATTTCACAAGAATTGGGGGAAAGGTTATGTGACCTCAGCATTGGCTCAATAAACTAACATTTACAGAGTGCCTGCTGTGGATCAGACAGAAAGCATAGCTACCGACACCTAGCAGGCTGTTGGGTGATGAATGAACTGATTGCAGAATTGCTCAAGCAGTGAACCTACGAATGCTACCTCTTCTCTTGGGGCTGTGTGGTTGGAAAAGTCAATGTACCTCTTGTAGGATAGGTGGTAGCATTAGATGGACAGAAATTCCTTTAGAAGCCCCTTAACAGAAGTGTTCTAGAAACCACACTCTACCTGTTTTCTAATGTCCTGTATCTGATTGGTTAAATGTAATGGACATATTTTTGGTATTACAGATAATTTTAGTTTTTATTGCTGTTAGGATCTTAACAGCAACGACCTAAAAATGCCTTTTTCCCTCCTCCTGCCCTTTCTGAAGAAATAGCACTGAACTGAGATTTACTAGATTCACATTCTACCTCCAGTTGAGACAGTAACTGGCTGTGTGACATTGGGCAAATCACATTAACCTTGTCAGATCTTAGTTTTCTCATCTGTCTGGAGATTGGATCAGTATACCCCTAAGGTCTGTTCTGGTTCTAAAGGCTATAAATTGGTCATCCTCTAAGCTCAACTGCTTTCCTGTCTGATTCATTTCTCTCTCTCACAAACAGGAACAGCTTCAGCTGCGGGGCTCCTTTACCTGCACACGTGGGCAGCTGCTATGTCCGGCTGTGTCTTCGCCGTCTTTACTGCGTCCATGTGGCCTCAAGCACTTGGACACCTTATTAACTCAGGGACAAACCCTGGGAAAACCATGACCATTGCCATGATATTTTATCTTCTAGAAATATTTTTCTGTGCCTGGTGCACAGCTTTTAAGTTTGTCCCAGGAGGTGTCTATGCTAGAGAAAGATCAGATGTGCTTTTGGGTGAGTAAATTTGAAAGGTCTGGATTAAAATAATTGCTCAAAAATATCCTTATGGACTGACCAGGATTTAGCACCTTATGTAACTGGTAGAAGTAAACAGGATGATCTAGCTTTCTTAATAAAATAGACTCTCTTGATTAAAACATAAAACCTGGAGGGATGTCTAAATTATAAATTAAAAACAAATGTCTTAATTTACCAGCGCATTTGAGTAATACTTATTACTACAAAGGTCTTTTAAATTAATTAGTTGTGAAAAGATTCGGTCCATACTAAAGTGTAAACAATGTAACACTTGTGTTATATGACGTCTTAGGAAAAGGTATGATCATGATACTCATGCTGCCACTTCAGTGGTTGGCTTGTAAATATACATGGGGATTGTGATTTTTTGGGGTTCCCCTGAATTTCATTTATGAATGTTTTTTTGAGATGAGGTCTTACTCTGTTTCCCAGGCTGTAGTGCAGTGGTGTGATCATAGCTCACTGTAACCTTGAGCTCCTGGCCTCAAGCGATCCTTCTACCTCTGCCTCCCAAGTAGTTGGGCCTACTAGGTGTGGGCCACCACACTCCACTAATTTAAAAAATTTTTGTAGAGACGGGGGTTTTGCTATGTTGCACAGGCTGTTCTTGAACTCCTGGCCTCAAGTGATCCTCCTGCCTTGGCTTCCCAAAGTGCTAAGATTACAGGTGTGAGCCACCACACCTAGACGCTATCATTTTTATTTAGTATATTTGTACCAAAAAATTCATATATCTTAGTGTAAATGATAAACCTCCAAATCATAGCGCAAATATATTCACCATTTTAGTGGTTATGAATTTGCATACCAAAATTATAATTTCATAAACTTAGCTCAGTTTAATATTTTAAAAATTGATTCATATACCAAAATTATAATTTCATAAACTTAGTTCAATTTTAATATTTTAAAAATTGGCTTCTGGCAATAATAAAATTATTGGTGTATACCAGGCATACATAAATTGAATGTTGTGAATCATTTAGATTACATAATTTTAGCTTAAGTAACATGTCAAATTCTTCCACAAAATGTTTGAAAGATGAGGAGAAAAGAACATGTTAATAAGGGATAAACTCGTTAGTTTGTTCAGTTATTCATTAAGAACATTAACATGATTTCACTGGTTGTCTACATTTTGAAAAAAATATGATCATGTACCTTATGTTCCAGGAACAGTGCCAGATACTGAAGATTATTTTTTCACCTTTTTATCTGTATAAATTTGTGGGGTACAAGTGCAATTTTGTTACATGCATAGGTTGCATAGTGATTAAGTCAGGACTTTTAGAGTATCTATCACCCTAACAGGGTACATTATACCCATTAATCAATTTCTCATCACTGCCCCCTTTCCCACCCTCTCATTCTTCTGGTCTACTTTATATACCATTCCCAGCTGCTGAAATATTAAAAACACCCACTGTCCTTGCCTACCTGGAGCTTTAGTTGAATGGGGGAAACACCAATATAAAACGAGACAAATACTTAAGAAATTACAGTTGTGCGAGTGCTACTCAGGAGAAGTGAAGGCTTCTATTTGGGTTCTGTTTTTTTCTTTTTCTTTTTCTGTTGCTCCAGCTGGAGTGCAGTGGTGCAGTCATAGCTGTGTATCCTTGAGCTCCCACCTCAACCTCCCAAGTAGCTGAGTCTCCAGGCACACACGACCATGCCTGGCTGATTGTTATTTTTTGTAGAGATGGGGTCTCACTTTGTTGCCCAGGCTGGTGTCGAACTCTTGGGCTTATGCAATTCTCCTGCCTTGGCCTCCCAAGGTGCTGGGATTACATCTACCTGAGTTCTGCTACAGTTCCCCTGGTGCCCTGACAGATATCCAACTACTCTGTACATTTTCCCATATGCTTTTCTACCCCATGAGCTAGACATCTGTCAGGACAGGCTGGCTTGAAAGACATATTTTCAAATTACATGAAATATTTTTGAATTAACTTGGAGAATTTGGTATTTCTGGAAAATACTCAAGCTTTCATCTAATGAGAGAAATACATTGCTGTATTTCTTCTGTGGTAACCTTGGCTTTGTAAACTTTGTATTTCTTCTGATTTCTTTCAGGTGTGTGTACTCTCCCCTGCTTTGTTTTCTTGTCCAATGCCCTGCTTTTTTTCTTTTACAAGCTTGCTTAGGGATCTGCCATGAGAATAAAACAAATGAAAGTAAGAACTATTCCATGCATGAGTTTGTTTCTTTAGAATTTTATGAACGATGAGTTTTTTTTTTTTTTAGTTTCTTCTCACTACTTATGGGATTGTAGAAACAGTGCATAATTACAACTTCATACAACTAAGAACTTTAAAGAAAAATAAGAGTGATGTTATTTGATGAGGCCACAAAAGCCAAGAAATATTAGTAATATTTAGAGTAGCTTTTAATACAACTGAGTAGAAAATAATCTTTATTATATCAGAATTTAGTTATAAATTTATTTTCTGGGTTCCTCCTGCTGTTTCCTGGAAAATTGGATACCGCTGGTTTTGCTTAGCTTTTGACTTTCACTTGACGTTTCTTAAATGCCTTAATTTCTTAATTTCCATATGGCAGCATATCTCTGTTTCCATTTTTAGTGTGTATGGTTTTAGATGAAGTAAGTAAACTTTAAGTGTAAGCTAGTTTGTTGTGCATCCCAGTTTAGCTCTACTTTATTGTCTGGCCTGTTGGCACACTGTGAGTTCCGGCATGCATCCTCTGTGCGGCCTCTGTGGCTGGAGAACTCATTTCCTGGGGCAGAATTATTGCAACAAGCACTGCCATATTAAGAGCCTACATATGCTCCATTGTGATCCTCAACCTGGTGCACGGAAGCGCTCTTACTGCATCCCTATGGGAGCTCAGAAGATTTCACTGTCCCCTGCTCAATCAACAGTCAGTCAGCAACACCTTCAGCAACCTAACAACTAGGAAATACTCAAGAAATTCAAAGAAATATGCATCAGGAAAAGGCTGGCGTCCTCTCACTTAAAGCATGATTCCTAGAACCCTACCTGATATTTTCCAGTTATCAAAGGCACTACCAAAGTAATTGCTTAGGTTCTGAGATAAATTAAATCAGTACATGAATTTCCAGGGTATGTTCCTTTAAAAGAAATCTCAGCTGCTGGAATACAACATTGGAAGGATTTTTGGATCAGAGTATAACGTATTCTTTCTTTCCCTTATAACAGGGACAATCTTGTTAATTATTGGGCTGAATATGCTATTTGGTCCTAAGAAAAACCTTGGCTTGCTTCTTCAAACAAAAAACAGTTCTAAAGTGCTTTTCAGAAAGAGTGAAAAATACATGAAACTTTGTAAGTATAGTTTTACATTCTTAAAAATTAATTATATAAAATTCTAAATGTATGAAATTAAAGAGTATAATGGTCCCTCAGGTGTCCTTCATCCAGTTTCAGCAATTCTCAACATTTTGCCATGTTGTTAACGGCTATCTTCTCTACTTTTTTAAAAAAATTATACTTTAAGTTCTAGTGCACATGTGCACAATGGGCAGGTTTGTTACATAGGTATACATGTGCCATGTTGGTTTGCTGGACCCATCAACCTTGTCATTTACATTAGGTATTTCTCCTAATGCTATCCCTTCCCCCGGTCCCTACCCCATGGCAGGCCTCGGTATGTGATGTTCCCTGTCCTGTGTCCGTGTGTTCTCATTGTTCAATTCCCACCTATGAGTGAGAACTTGCAGTGTTTGGTTTGTTGTCCTTGTGATAGTTTGCTGAGAATGATGGTTTCCAGCTTCATTCATGCCCCTGCAAAGAACATGAATTCATTTTTTATGGCTGTGTAATATTCCATGGTGTATATATGCCACATTTTCTTAATCCAGTCTATCATTGATGGACATTTGGGTTGGTTCCAAGTCATTGCTATTGTGACTAGTGCTGTAATAAACATACGTGTGCATGTGTCTTTATAGTAACATTATTTGTAATCCTTTGGGTATATACTCAGTAATGTGATGGCTGGGTCAAATGGTGTCTCTAGTTCTAGATCCTTGAGGAATCACCACAGTGTCTTCCACAATGGTTGAACTTATTTACACTCCCACCAACAGTGTAAAAGCATTCCTATTTCTCCACATCCTCTCCAGCACCTGTTGTTTCCTGATTTTTTAATGATTGCCATTCTGACTGGTTTGAGATGGTATCTCATTGTGGTTTTGATTTGCATTTCTCTGGTGACCAGTGATGATGAGCATTTTTTCACGTGTCTGTTGGCTGCATAAATATCTTCTTTGGAGAAGTGTCTGTTCATATACTTTGCCCACTTTTTGATGGGGTTGTTTTTTTCTTGTAAATTTGTTTAAGTTCTTTGTAGATTCTGGATATTAGCCCATTGTCAGATGGATAGATTGCAAACATTTTTTCCCATTCTGTAGGTTGCGTGTTCACTCTGATGGTAGTTTCTTTTGCTGTGCAGAAGCTCTTTAGTTTAATTAGATCCCATTTGTCAATTTTGGCATTTGTTGACATTGCTTTTGGTGTTTTATTCATGAAGTCTCTGTCTATGCCTATGTCCTGAATGTTATTGCCTAGGTTTTCTTCTAGGACTTTTATGGTTTTAGGTCCTACATTTAAGTCTTTAATCCATCCTGAATTAATTTTTGTACAAGGTGTAAGGAAGAAATCCAGTTTCAGCTTTCTATATATGGCTAGCCAGTTTTCCCAGCACCATTTATTAAATAGGGAACCCTTTCCTCATTGCTTGTTTTTGTCAGGTTTGTGAAAGATCAGATGGTTGTAGATGTGTGGTGTTATTTCTGAGGCCTCTGTTCTGTTGCATTGGTCTATATATCTGTTTTGGTACCAGTACCATGCAGTTTTGGTTACTGTAGCCTTGTAGTGTAGTTTGAAGTCTGGTAGCATGATGCCTTCAGCTTTGTTCTTTTGGTTTAGGATTGTCTTGGCTATGCGGGCTCTTTTTTGGTTCTATATGAACTTTAAAGTAGTTTTTCCCAATTCTGTGAAGAAAGTCATTGGTGGTTTGATGGGGATGGCATTGAATCTATAAATTATCTTGAGCAGTATGGCCATTTTCATGATATTGATTCTTCCTATGCATGAGCATGGAATATTCTTCCATTTGTTTGTGTCCTCTTTTATTTTGTTGAGCAGTGGTTTGTAGTTCTCCTTGAAGAGGTCCTTCCCATCTCTATTAAGTTGGATTACTAGGTTTTTTATTCTCTTTGTAGCAATTTTGAATTGAAGTTCATTCATGATTTGGCTCTCTGTTTGTCTGTTATTGGTGTATAGGAATGCTTGTGATTTTTGCACACTGATTTTGTATCCTGAGACTTTGCTGAAGTTGCTTATCAGCTTAAGGAGATTTTGGGCTGAGACGATGGGGTTTTCTAAATATACAATTATGTCATCTGCAAATAGGGACAATTTGGCTTCCTCTTTTCCTAATTGAATACCCTTTATTCTTTCTCCTGCCTTATTGCCCTGGCCAGAACTTCCAACACTAATTTGAATAGGAGTGATGAGGGAGGGCATCCTTGTCTTGTGCTGGTTTTCAAAGGGAATGCTTCCAGTTTTTGCCCATTCAGTATGATACTGGCTGTGGGTTTGTCATAAATAGCTCTTATTATTTTGAGATATGTTCCATCAATACCTAGTTTATTTAGGGGTTTTAGCATGAAGCGCTGTTGAATTTTGTCAAAGGCCTTTTCTGCATCTATTGAGATTATCATGTGGTTTTTGTCTTTGGTTCTGTTTATATGCTGGATTGCATTTATTGGTTTGTGTATGTTGAACCAGCCTTGCATCCTCGCGATGAAGCCAACTTGATCTTGGTGGATAAGCTTTTTGATGTGCTGCTGGATTCAGTTTGCCAGTATTTTATTGAGGATTTTTGCAGTGATGTTCATCAGGGGTATTGGTTTAAAATTCTCTTTTTCTGTTGTGTCTCTGCCAGGCTTTGGTATCAGGATGATGCTGGTCTCATAAAATGAGTTAGGGAGGATTCCCTCTTTTTCTATTGATTAGAATAGTTTTAGAAGAAATGGTACCAGCTCCTCTTTGTACCTCTGGTAGAATTTGGCTGTGAATCCCTCTGGTCCTGGACTCATTTTGGTTGGTAGGCTATTAATTATTGCCTCAATTATTGCCTCAATTATTGCCTGTTATTGGTCTAGTCAGAGATTCAACTTCTTCCTGGTTTAGTCTTGGGAGGGTGTATGTGTCCAGAAATTTATCCATTTCCTGTAAGTTTTCTAGTTTATTTGTGTAGAAGTGTTTATAGTATTCTCTGATGGTAGTTTGTGTTTCTGTGGGATTGATTGTGATATCCCCTTATCAATTTGTATTGCATCTGCTTGATTCTTCCCTCTTTTCTTCTTTATTAGTCTTGCCAGCGGTCCATAAATTTTGTTGATATTTTCAAAAAACCAGCTCCTGGGTTCATTGATTTTTTTGATGGATTTTTTGTGTCTCTATCTCCTTCAGTTCTGCTCTGATCTTAGTAATTTCTTGCCTTCTGCTAGCTTTTGAATGTGTTTGCTCTTGCTTCTCTAGTTCTTTTAATTGTGATGTTAGGGTGTCGATTTTAGATCTTTTATGCTTTCTCTTGTGGGCATGTAGTGCTATAAATTTCCCTCTTAACACTACTTTAAGTGTGTCCTAGAGATTCTGGTACATCGTGTCTTTCTTCTCATTGGTTTCAAAGAACATCTTTATTTCTGCCTTCGTTATCTCGGTGGAGATATCCCTTTTATCATTTTTTACTGCATGGTGTTAGTGTGTCAATTTTAGATCTTTCCTGCTTTCTCTTGTGGGCATTTAGTGCTATAAATTTCCCTCTACACACTGCTTTAAATATGTCCCAGAGATTCTGGTATGTTGTCTTTGTTCTCATTGGTTTCAAAGAACATCTTTATTTCTGCCTTCATTTCGTTATGTACCCAGTAGTCATTCAGAAGCAGGTTGTTCAGTTTCCATGTAGTTGAGTGGTTTTGATTGAGTTTCTTAATCCTGAGTTCTAGTTTGATTGCACTATGGTCTGAGAGACAGTTTGTTTTAATTTCTGTTCTTTTACATTTGCTGAGGAGTGCTTTACTTCCAATTATGTGGTCAATTCTGGAACAAATGTGATGTGCTGCTGAGAAGAATGTATATTCTGTTGATTTGGGGTGGAGAGTTCTGTAGATGTCTATTAGGTCCACTTGTTGCAGAGTTGAATTCAATTCCTGGATATCCTTGTTAACTTTCTGTCTCGTTGATCTGTCTAATGTTGACAGTGGGGTGTTAAAGTCTCCCATTATTATTGTATGGGAGTCTAAGTCTCTTTGTAAGTCTCTAAGGACTTGTTTTATGAATCTGGGTGCCCCTGTATTGGGTGCATATATATTTAGGATAGTTAGCTCTTCCTGATGAATTAATCCCTTTACCATTATGTAATGGCCTTCTTTGTCTCTTTTGATCTTGATGGTTGAAAGTCTATTTTATCAGAGACTAGTATTGCAACCCCTGCTTTTTTTTTTTTCCATTTGCTTGGTAGATCTTCCTCCATCCCTTTGTTTTGAGCCTATGTGTGTCTCAGCATGTGAGATGGGTCTCCTGAAAACAGCAAACTGATGGGTCTTGACTCTAATTTGTCAGTCTGTGTCTTTTAATTGGAGCATTTAGTCCATTTACATTTAAGGTTAATATTGTTATGTGTGAACTTGATCCTGTCGTTATGATATTAGCTGGTTATTTTGTTCACTAGTTGATGCAGTTTCTTCCTAGCTTTAGTGGACTTTACATTTTGACATGTGTTTGCAATGGCTGGTACCTGTTGTTCCTTTCCATGTTTAGTGCTTCCTTCAGGATCTCTTGTAGGGCAGGCCTGGTGGTGACAAAATCTCTAAGCATTTGCTTGTCTGTAAAGCATTTTATTTCTCCTTCACTTGTGAAACTTAGTTTGGCTGGATATGAAATTCTGGGGTGAAAATTCTTTCCTTTAAGAATATTGAATATAGGCCCCCACTCTCTTCTGGCTTGGAGAGTTTCTGCCATGAGATCTGCTGTTAGTCTGATGGGCTTCCCTTTGTGTGTAACCTGACCTTTCTCTCTGGCTGCCCTTAACATTTTTTCCTTCATTTCAACTTTGGTGAATGTGACAATTATGTGTCTTGGAGTTGCTCTTCTCAAGGAGTATCTTTGTGGCATTCTCTATATTTCTTGAATTTGAATGTTGGCCTGCCTTACTAGGTTGGGGAAGTTCTCCTGGATGATATCCTGCAGAGTGTTTTCCAACTTGGTTCCATTTTCCCTGTCACTTTCAGGTACACCAATCAGACGTAGATTTGGTCTTTTCACATAATCCCATATTTCTTGGAGAATTTGTTCATTTCTTTTTACTCTTTTTTCTCTACACTTCTCCTCTCACTTCATTTCATTCATTTGGTCTTCAACCACCAATACTCTTTCTTCCAGTTGATCGAGTCGGTTAGTGAAGTTTGTGCATTTGTCACGTAGTTCTCGTGTTATGGTTTTCACCTCTATCAGTTCTTTTAAGGTCTTCTCTGCATTGATTATTCTAGTTATCCATTCATCCATTCCTTTTTCAAGGTTTTTAGTTTCTGGTTACATCTGGTTACATCATTCCTCCTTTAACTCTGAGAAGTTTGATTGAGTGAAGCCTTCTTCTCTCAACTCGTCAAAGTCATTCTCCATCCAGCTTTGTTCCGTTGCTGGTGATGAGCTGTGTTCCTTTGGAGGGGGAGATGTGCTTTGATTTTTTGAATTTCCAGCTTTTCTGCACTGCTTTTCCCCCATCTTTGTGGTTTTATCTGCCTTTGGTCTTTGATCATGGTGACGTACTGATGGGGTTTTGGTGTGGGTATCCTTTCTGTTTGTTAGTTTTCCTTCTAACAGCCAGGACCCTCAGCTGTATGTCTGTTGGAGTTCGCTTGAGGTCCAGTCCAGACCCTGTTTGCCTGGATATCAGCAGTGGAGGCTGCAGGAAATAGAATATTGCTGAACAGTGAGTGTTGCTGTCTGATTTTTGCTTGGGAAGCTTCGTCTCAGGGGTGAACCCCACCGTGTGAGGTGTGAGGTGTCAATCTGCAGCTAGTGGGGGATGTCTCCCAGTTAGGCTACTCAAGGGTCAGGGACCCCCTTGAGCAGGCAGTCTGTCTGTTCTCAGATCTCAACCTCTGTGCTGGGAGATCCACTGCTTTCTTCAAAGCTGTCAGACAGGGGCATTTACCTCTGCTAAGGTTTCTGCTGCTTTTTGTTTAGCTATGCCCTGTCCCCAGAGGAGGAGTCTACAGAGGCGGGCTGGCCTCCTTGAGCTGTGGTGTGCTCCACCCAATTGGAGCTTCCTCGTGGCTTTGTTTACCTACTTAAGCCTCAGCAATAGTGGGCACCCCTCCCCCAGTCTCACTGCCGCCTTGCAGTTAGATCTCAGACTGCTGTGCTAGCAATGAGGGAGGCTCTGTGAGGTGGGACCCTCTGGGCCAGGTGTGGGATGTAATCTCCTGGTGTGCCATTTGCTAAGACCCTTGGTAAAGCACAGTATTAGGGTGGGAGTTACCTGATTTTCCAGGTGTTGTGTGTCTCAATTTCCTTTGGCTAGGAAAAGGAATTCGCTTCCCCCTTGCACTTCCCAGGTGAGGTGATGCCTCGCCCTGCTTCAGCTCTCACTGGTCGGGCTGCATCTTTGGACCAGCACCAACTGTCCGACATGCCCCAGTGAGATGAACCTGGTACCTTAGTTGAAAATGCAGAAATCACCCGTCTTCTGTGTTGCTCACACTGGGAGCTGGAGGCAGGAGCTGTTATTATTTGGCCATCTTGGGCACGCCCCCCCCCTTTCATATTTTTTACCTGTATGTTTTGGGCTGCCCCTTGAACTAATTCTCTATTCAGCTTGTCTAATTCAATTGTCTTTGAATTTCTAATTTCAATTATTATAATTATCTTTTTATATCTAGAACTCTATTTGATTTCTTTTAAAAATTTTCTGATTGTTTATTTTAGTCTCATGTTCTCTAGTCATACTTTTGAATACCCTCCTTTATTTTTGTAAATATAATAAGCATACTTGTTTTATATTCTGATTCAGAAAGTTCCAACATCTGTCTTTGTGGGCTTGATTCTGCAGAGTGTTTTTTTCCTTTGTTTCCTGCTCATGGAAACTTGTTTTCTTGTATGTTTTATGACTTATTTTTACTTTAAGCTCATAGTCCTTGGAACATTTTTAGGGAAAATTCTTGAAACCTGAGTTTAAAGAGTTGTCGATGTATACATGTCACACATGAAATTTAACCCAAGAACTACACATTTTCCCTTTGCACAAAATCATTGGCCAATAAATTCAATGATTTTATAAACCTTGTTATTTTAAAACAGATTTAGGTATTTTTTTTTTTTCCTAGTGCCATGTGTTTATTCCCTCCCATGTGAGTGGTTCACATACAGAGCCCACACAGGAGTGGGCACCATGGAATAGGGCAGCATTCCTGGCTTCTGAGGGGAGGATCTTGGCCTCACAGTGTAAGAAAGGAGAGGATGTTTTATCTCCTGCCCTCACTAGGGCCTAGGGGACCCAGGAGCAAATTCCACCCCTTCCACCTCTCAGCTAAGGAGAAGCCACCTTGGTGACATTTAGTTCCAACCATTATAGTAAGTGGAGAAGGGATTGTCCTGGTCCCAACCATTACAGGGTGAAGATATAAACAGTAAAGGAAGGTATAGTTTGGATGAGGCCACGAAAGAGGGTAGATGACACCATCAGAAGCTTGTGCAGGGGAGGGGCAATGACTCGGCTTCTGGGCTGCTTAGTCCCTGATTTGGCAGGAAGGGTATGGAAAATGGGTGGGGCTCATTGTTTGGCATTGATATCCACGAATTCAGGCTTGAGGGAAGCACCACCCAGGAAGAAGCCATCCACGTCAGGCTGGCTGGCCAGCTCCTTGCAGGTTACCCTGGTCACAGAGCCTCCATAAGTGATACGGGTGCTCTGAGCCACATCAGAGATGTTGGATTTAAGACATCCTTGGAGCTTCTTTTGTACTTCCTGGGCCTTTTGGGGTGTTGCAGTTTTGCCAGTACCAATGTCCCACACAGGCTCATAAGCCAGGATGACCTTGCTCCAGTCCTTCACCTTATCTGCGATGACCTTTGTCTGCTCGAAAACAACCTTCTTGGTGATGCCAGCTTCCCTTGCATCTAGCTTCTTCCCAATGCAGGTGATTACTCCAAGTAACTCTGCCAGAGCGTGGGCCACTTTCTGCCCAATCTGTTCATCTGACTCCCCAAAGACATGCCTTCTCTCTGAGTGCCCCAGGACCACCCATCTGGCTCTGCAGTCTTTGATTTTGCCAGGGCTGATCTCCCCAGTAAAGGCCCCATTAGTCACTTTGTAGCAGTTCTGCTCAGGCACAACAATCTTGGGATCTAGCTTCTGCTGGGTGAAGTTGATATAGGCAGTGGGGGGGAGAGCAAACCACCTCGGTGTCAACTGGCACCTTGGTCACATTCAGTGCCAGTGAGCTACCCAAGACTCTTCTTCCGCCCATTCATCTTCCAGTTCCCCCATCATGAAGAACTTCTTGGAGGGCACCACAGCACTGGAGATGAGGCACTGAAGGTCAGTGTCAGCAAATTTATTTTATTTTATTTTATTCATTTAAAAATAAATAATCATTTCTTTTTTCTGTTTAGTTCTGTGGCTGCTTGTTGGTGTGGGATTGTTGGGGTTAGGACTACGGCATAAAGCCTATGAGAGAAAGTTGGGCAAAGTGGTAAGTAATTAAAAACCTTGAAATAGAATTTTATATGTTATATATATGTGCATATATTTGTACACGTTACCATTCTGATTGAACCTGGATCTGATGACTTCAGAGCCCTGGACTCTATCTTCTAAACTCTTATGTGCCAGACTGATAAGATAGTGGGATTATTTTATGAAGTTGGGTTCTTGGAACAGGATAGGCCCGTATACTAGGGACAGATTGTTGATGATTTTGTTTTATGGAGTTATTTCTGCCATTCATGATTTAACATATCTAAACTATGTGTATTAGTTTGTTCTTGCACTGCCATAAAGAAATACTTGAGACTGGGTAATTTATAAAGAAGAATTTTAACTATCCCATGGTTCTACAGACTGTACAGGAAGCATGGAGGCATCTGCTCAGCTTCTGGGGAGGCCTCAGGAAACTTGCAATCATGGTGAAAGGCATACAGGGAGCTAATTATCTTACATGGTGGAGCAGGAACAAGAGAGAGAGGGGGTAGATGCTACACACTTTTTTTTTGGTTTGTTTTTTTGTTTGTTTGGTTTTTTTTGATGGAGTCTCACTCTGCTGCCAGGCTGGAGTGCAGTGGTGCGATCTTGGCTCACTGCAACCTCTGCCTCCCAGGTTCAAGTGATTCCCTTGCCTCATCCTCCCAAGTAGCTGGGACTACAGGCAGTGTGCCACGGCACCCAGCTAATTTTTTTTTTTTTGTATTTTAGTAGAGATGGGTTTCACCATGTTGGCCAGGATGGTCTTGATTTCCTGACCTTGTGATCTGCCCACCTCCCAAAGTGCTGGGATTACAGGTGTAAGCCACCACGCCTGGCAGGTGCTACACACTTTAAAACTACCAGATCTGATGAGAACTCACTCCTTCACTATTACAACAACACAAAAGGGGGGTGTTTTATCATTTATTTATTTATTGGAGAACAGTACCGAGGGTATGGTGCTAAACCATTCATGGGAATTCCACCCCCATGATCTGGTCACCTCAAGGCCCCAGAGATTACAATTCAACTTGAGATTTGGTAGGGACACAGATCCAAACCATGTCACTATGAGATAAGAAACTATTTTGCATTGGACTTTCTGTACTTCTTGGTAGATATTGCTGAAGATAGCAATGTGAGATTCTTTAGGAAAACTCTTACAGATAATACTATAGGTAGCTTATGCCTTGACAGGTAGTAAAACTTTTCTTGTCTCTTTCTTTCCTCTCTTGCTATCTGCAGTTTTAAATGTTTTAATATCCTTTTCTCTTTTAGAACAGTTGGCAGAAATGAGAATAAGCAATTGAATGTTGTGCTTTCTATCTGATCTGATAAAAAGTCTAGTGTATTTCATAATGCAGTCAGAGGTACAGTTTTGGTTAAAATAGAAATTGTTGAGGGTTGACTTTGAATTTTAGCAGTCTGTACTACCAGGAACATTTTTCATTTTGAATAAAAAGCTACACTGAGAACATAGACCATGTTTCTCTTCTTGATCTTTGTACGTCCAGTAACTTACAGAGTGCTTGGTAGGTATTCAGAATTAAGTAACTATTTCTTAATAAGTAGATAACAGTAGATGATCATTACATGTTCCTTTAATTGTTGGTCATTATTATTGCAACATAATGTCCATCAGAAAAGGATACCTAATGTCATCCAGGAATTCTTTTGGAAGGAGTTATTTGAATTGGATTTAATACCTGTTCTTTTGCTCATTTGCTCATTCATTCATTTGGCTAGTGATTACTGAATGTTTCCTTATTACCTGGTGCCAGGGATACAGATATAAACAAGTTGGACAAGAACCTGCCCTGCCAGAGTTTGCATTCTAGTAGGGGAGAATGATAGTATTCAGAGAACAAATAAAGAAATGATCTCATTTTAGACCAAGCTGCCATGAAGGAAACAGGATTGTAGAATGAAAGGTAACTGGGTATGGGGGATTAGAGAAAGCTGTCTGAGGAGAGGTGACATTTGAGATGAAATTTGCAAACTGAGAAAACAGTTGTGAGGGCTGGGATGTTGGCAGAAGGAACACATATAGAGGACTGAGGGAGAACCACACTTGGTGTGTTTGAGGGACATCAGGGTGACTGGCTTGGCTGAAGCTTGGTGAAGAGTAATAGATGATGTGGAGAGGCTGGGGAGGGCCATACCAGGGCCTTGTAGAACACAGAAGTGTTGCTGTTATTTTTTTCTTATTTTCATTTTATTATTAGTATTATTTTTAATGTCAATAGTTTTTTTTTTTAATTTTTTTATTTTTTAGCTGGCGTCTCACTCTGTCACCCAGGCTGGGGTGCAGTGGCATGATCTTGGTTCCCTGCAACCTCTGCCTTCTGGCTTCAAGCGATTCTCTTGCCTCAGCCTCCGGAGCAGCTGGGATTACAGGTGCACACCACCATGCCCAGCTAATTTTTGTACTTTTAGCAGAGATGGAATTTCACTGTGATGGGCAGGCTGGTCTCAAACTCCTGACCTCAAGTTATCTGCCTGCCTTCGCCTCCCAAAGTGCTGGGATTACAGGCATGAGCCACCGTCCCTGGCCATTGTCAATAGTTTTTGGGCAGGTGGTTTTTGGTTATGTGGATAAGTTCTTTAGAGGTGATTTCTGAGATTTTAGTGCACCCATCACCCAAGCAGTGTACACTGTACCAAATATGTAGTCTTTTTTTGTTATTACATTTTTTTTCAATAGGTTTTTGGGGGAACGGGTGGTGTTTGGTTATGTGAATAGGTTATTTAGTGGTGATTTCCGAGATTTTGGTGCATCCATCACCCGAGCAGTGTAATTGTAACCAATTTGTAGTCTTTTATTCCTCACTCCCTCCCACTCTTTGCCCTGAGTCTCCAAAGTTCATTGTATCATTCTTATGGCTTTGCATCCTCATAGCTTAGCTCCCACTTATGTGCAAGAACATATAATGTTTGGTTTTCCATTCCTGAGACACTTCACTTAGAATAATGGTCTCCAATTCCATCCAGGTTGTTGCAAATGCCATTATTTTATTCATTTTTATGCCTGAATAGTATTCCATTACACACACACACACACACACACACACACATGCACACACACATTATCTATCTATCTATCTATCTATCTATCTATCTAATCATATTTTCTTTATCCACTTGTTGATTGATGGGCATTTGGGCTGGTTCTATATTTTTGCAATTTCAAATTGTGCTGCTGTAAACATGTATATGCAAGTATCTTTTTCATATAATGACTTCTTTTCCTCTGGGTAGATACCCAGGAGTGTGATTGCTGGATCAAATTGTAGATCTATTTTTAGTTCTTTAAGGAATCTCCACACTATTTTCCATAGTGGTTGTACAAGTTTACCTTCCCACAAACAGTGTAAAAGTGTTCCTTTTTCACTACATCCATGTCAACATTTATTAGTTTTTGATTTTTTGATTATGGCCATTCTTGCAGGAGTAAGGTGGTATCACATTGTGGTTTTGATTTGCATTTCCCTTGAACATTAGTGATGTTGAGCATTTTTCCATATGTTTTTTGGCCATTTGTATATCTTCTTTTGAGAATTGTCTTTTCATGTCCTTAGCCCACTTTTTGATGGGATTTTTTTTTCTTGCTGATTTGTTTGAGTTCCTTGTAGATTCCGGGTATTAGTCCTTTTTCAGATGTATAGATAGCAAAGATTTCCCCCTATCTTGTGAGTTGTCTGTTTAGTCTGCCAATTATTTCTTTTGCTGTGCAGAAGTTTTTTAGTTTAATTAAGCTCCATCTGTTTATCTTTGTTTTTGTTGCATTTGTTTTTGGGTTCTTGGTCATGAAGTCTCTGCCTAAGCCAATTTTAAAAGAGCTTTTCCAATGTTGTATTCTAGAATTTTTATGGTTTCAGGTGTTAGATCTAAGTCTTTGATCCATCTTGAGTTGATTTTTCTAAAAAGTGAGAGATGGGGATCCAGTTTTATTCTTCTACCTGTGGCTTGCCAGTTATCCTAGTACCATTTGTTGAATAGAATGTCCTTTTCCACTTCATGTTTTTGTTTGCTTTGTTGAAGATCAGTGGACTGTAATCATTTGGCTTTATTTCTGGGTTCTCTATTCTGTTCCATTGGTCTATATGCCTGTTTTTATACCAGTGCCATGCTGTTTTGGTGACTAGGGCCTTATAGTATATTTTGAAGTTGGGTAATGTAAGGCCTCTAATTTATTATTTTTACTTAGTCTTGCTTTGGCTATGCAGACTCTTTTTTGGTTCCATATGAATTTTAGTTTTTTTTCCAGTTCTGTGAAGAATGATGGTGGTATTTTAATGAGAATTGCATTGAATTTATAGATTGCTTTTGGCAGTATGGTTATTTTCACAATATTGATTCTACCCATCCATGAGCATGGATGTGTTCGCATTTGTTTGTGTCATCTATGATTTCTTTCAGGAGTGTTTCATAATTTTCCTTGTAGAGGTCTTTCACATCCTTGGTTAAGTATATTCCTAAACATTTTATTTTATTTATTTTTTCAGCTATTGTGAAAGGGGTTGGATTCTTGATTTGATTATCACTTTGGCCACTGTTGGTGTATAGAAGGGCTACTAATTTGTGTACACTAATTTTGTATCTTGAAACTTTGCTGAATTCATTTACCAGTTCTAGGAGCTTTTTGGTGGAGTCTTTGGGGTTTTCCAGATATACCATTATGTCATCCACAAACAATGACAGTTTGACTTCCTTTTTATCAATTTGATACCCTTTATTTCCTTCTCTTCTTGATTGTGCTGGCTAGAACTTTCAGTACTATGTTGAATAGAAGTAGTGAAAGTGGACATCCTTGTCTTGTTCCAGGTCACAGGGGAATGCTTTCAACTTTTCCCTATTCGGTATAATGTTGGCTATGGGTTTGTAATAAATGGCTTTTATTACTTTAAGGTGTGACCTTTCTATGCCGATTTTGCTGAGGGTTTTAATCATAAAGGGACGCTGGATTTTGTCAACTGCTTTTTCTGTGTCTATTGAGATGATCATGTGATT